GATGGAAGTGGAACATGTGTGGGCAATAGTGAAATCAAGGATATGTTAGTTCTTATAGTAGCTGAGTTGGAGTACAAGTATACGTCCTGGAAGTTGAGGTGACTAAGGAACTGGAAGGCCATTGTATAAGAGGGGATTTCAGTGGGTGTGTTGAGGCAGGAATTGGGTCAGCTCAAAGAAAGACTTTGAGTCAGGTACTAAGCTCACTGAAAAAGAAGGGAGTAGATGACTCCCAGGATCTGGATTGGGTAATATATTTGGATGTTGCCCCGTGGATAAAGCTCCGGGCCTAGAGTCAGGGAGACTTGAGTTTAAATCCAACCTCAGATACTTATTATGTAACCCTGGACAAGTCACTTAATCTCTAACTGCCTCGGTTTCCTCAATGGCAAAATGGGGATAACTGTAGCACCTTTCTCCCAGGGCTGTTGTGAAGATCAAATAAGATGATAATTGCAAAGCACTCAGCACAGTGCTTGGCATTTAATGAACTCTTGTCCCCTTCCCACTTCACACGACCCCCTCCCCACAGGAAGAGATTGCTAAATCTTGGTGGCAATGAGGAACAGATCATCCTAAACCCTCCTCTAGGACCAGTATGGGAATGAGGGAGACAATGTAAAGCCCATAACAAAAGGATGGCTAGAGATGCCTCATCTCCTTGGATGGAAGGAAGGACTGGCATGGCTGGGTTTCCAGGAGTGGCTGGAGCAGGAGAGGAAGAAGGGAACTTTTTTTTTTTTTATGATGGAACAGAGATTCAAAGCAAAACACATAATTCCACAATGCACAGCCCTCCCAATACCTAGCAGAATAGAGATGAGGACTCACTGTATCATGAGGCAGCTTAGTGTAAGTGAGGGCATTCACTGTCACCTGGTATAGTCTTTGAGTCAGAAGACCTGAGGAGTTTGAGCCTTGGCTCTGAAACTTTTTAGCTGTATGACCCTGGACAAGTCACCTCTGTACCTCAGTTTCCTCACTAGTAAAATGGGGACAGCAATGCTTCCATGACCCACAACAGTTGTTCTGAGGAAAGCCATTTGTAGGCCCTAAAGTGCTACAAATGTGGTCATTGCTGTTGTGTTATGATGAAGATAAAGACAATGATAATAGCTAACTTTTCTAGAATGCCTACGATGGGCTAAGTCCTTTACTTGTATTATCTCACTTGGTCTTCACAATATTCCTGGAAGCAGGCGCTATTATTATTCTCATTTTTACAGTTGAGGAAACTGAGGTTAAATGACTTACCCAGAGTCACACAGCTAATAAGTGCCTGATCTGGATTTGAACTCAGGTCTTCCTGATTCCAGGTCTATGCTTTGTCCACTGTGCCACCTAGCTGCCTCCTAAGTAGATTGTGCTCTTGAGATAGACCCCATCTGGCCCATTCAGATCCACAGGAAAAAAGATGAAATTTAGGCTTCCTACCCAAGGCTCCAGTCTCAGCACACTTAGTATTTCCCTGCTGCTCCTAGGCAGCAGGTTTCTTATCCATAGATTTTTCATTTGCGCTCAGAAAAGACTTGCTTATTATAATGATAAAGTTGTTAGCGATCTCAACTTCTTGAAAGTTTGATGGGAGAGGGAGGGAGTCAAGAATCCTGATAATTGTTCCTAATCCTAATCCAGGTTCCTAATCCTTAAAGGGTAAATCACCACTGATAACACGATGAAGATGCTAGAAGGCACTGCTGTTACAAAGGCTTTCCAGGTTACAAAGTGCTTTCCACATGATAGAGGCAGCTAGGTGGCTCAGTAGATACAATGTTAGACTTGGAGTCAGGAAGACCTGAATTCAAATGTGGCCTCAGACATTTACTAGCTGGGTGACCCTGGGCAAGTCACTTTAACGTGTCTTTCTCAGCATCCTCAACTGTAAAGTGAAGATAATAATAGCACCTACTTCCTGGGGTTTTTGTAAGAATCAAATGACACATTTATAAAATGTGCTTAGCACAGTGCTTGAAACACAGTAGGTGCTTACTAAATTCTTGTTTCCTTCCTTCCTTCTTTCCTCCCTCCCTCCCTTCTCTCCTTGCTCCCTCCCTCCTTTCTTTCCTTCCTTCTTTTCTTCCTTCCTTTGGGTCATTTGAGCTTCAGAAAAGCATGGTATAGAGTGGAAAGAGTACCAGTTGTGGAGCCAGAAGCCCTGAGATTTGATCTGGACCATAACCCTTACTCCCTGTGTGACCTTGGGCAAAGCACTCAACCCTTCTAGACCTCAGTTTTCTTCTCCTTAAAATCAGAATACCAGAATTTTAAGAGTTGGAAGAGACCTCAGCAGCCATCTGGCCTGACTCATACCAGAAAAAGATTTCCCACTCAGCATCTGTGACAAGTAGCAATCCAACTTCTTCTGGAAGACTTCCAACGAAGTGGAGCCCATTCTTTCTGAAGGCAACTGGTCATGCTTGGGGTTACCTCTAACAGGTAGGACATCGCTGCTGACATCAAGCTTAAATCACCTCTTTCACCTGGTATTCTTTGTTCTGCCCTCTGGCCCTAAATGCTGTGATCTTTTTTTGATTCCTCTCATGTGGGTACACATGAAGTGCAGAGAGGCAATATGCCCAGCCATTAAAGCAGGGCAGTGAACATTACCCAAAGGACAACCAGTCCCTCCTCCCCCAACTCTAGTTCCACCATTCAAGTCTCTTTTTTAACAGAAAGGAAAAAGGTCCAACCCAAACTGTTGATCAAGGGCTGGTGGCTTCCTGTTGGGGGTGGGGACTAGCGATTTCATCCAGATCAGAGATGTCCCTTTGGGGACTGGAAAACTGGCTCATGGGCCTGGCCCCATCCTTCTCAGCCTTATGCTCAATGAGTAGCCTCCACGCTAGGAGACTTGAGCTCAGTAGCTGTTACTTCCTCTGAGATAAAAGCCTTTACTTAGAACCTCAGTCTCCACCCCCCCATCTCCCGGAAGACAGGAGGCAATCCCACTTCACTCTATAATCACTTTTCTGCTACTCAACCCAGGCCCTGCATGGCACTCCTCAAAGCTTGGCCCAAGTCTTCCCTGAACCTGCTGGTGTTTGCTGTCATGCTCTCAGGTAAGACCCTGGCAAAGGCCTAGCTGCCTCAGACTACTTAAGTTAGCTCTCCTACAGCAAGAGGACTCCCTGTAGGTCCCAGGAACTCTTAGCTTTGAGAGAAGGCAGGGAGGGGACAGAGAGACCCAGGCTTTTGTATCCAGGGCCCAGAGATGAGGATAACCTGGAGGGCAGTACTAATTAACTTAGTCCTGCCTGGTCTCAGGAAGAGATTGATTCCTCAGAGGGCAAGAGGGAACTCCAGGATTTTTGTGTCTATAGGGGAATGTGGGTGGAAGGGTGAGAACGGGCTCCACTTGGTAAGCCAGAAAGAATATCCTTACAAAGAGAGTCTGAGGCAACCACCATAGCTCTGTGTTTGCAGGGGCTCCAGGGATTACATGGATAGAACCCCCAGATCTAGTGATCACTCCTGGGGGGAACCTGTCAGTGAACTGCAGCACAGATTGTGACCAGCCACAGTTCATTGGCCTGGAGACCCAACTTGTCAAGACACAAGTAGACAACGGGACCAGATGGAAAGTATTCCTACTAAAAAATATAACCCAGGATACCCTGCTCCACTGCTTTGCCAACTGCTTTGGGGATGCTCAGATGATCTACAGTACCACTGTCACTGTGATTCGTGAGTATTTTGGTTGGTGGGGGTGTACACCATTAGTGACTATGGCCCAGAGCCATACCTAGGACAGAGCAACTAGGGATTTGCCATAGGTTTTTCAACATAGGGATCAAATTTCCTGGGCACGGGCAAATGTATTTCTTAAAGTCTCCCCATGGCTTACTTGGAAGTTCTCTAGTAGCCTTCAATGCCATGCATGGCAACTAGTACCTCTAGGATTTCTCTAGCACACCTATCCTGGAGGTCCCCTTTCCTCCTAACCTATGAAGGGGTCCTACCAAGACTCTGGGGGAACTGGTCACCCTATCTCTTAGCATGCTAACACCTTAATTAGACTAGCAAGTAAACAAGCATTCGTTGTTGAGTGCCTACTGGGTGCCAGGCACTATGCCAAATGCTTTGCAAATATCTCATTTAATCTTCACAAAAAGCCTGGGAGGCAGGTGCTATGATGACCCTCATTTTAGTTGAGGAAACTGAGGTAGAGGTTTAGTGACTTGCCCAGCTAGTAGTATCTGAGGCTAGATTTGAATTCAGGTCTTCCTGACTCCAGGCCCAGTGAAGGCAAACCGAGCTGCCTCAGATTATCTGAGAAAGCAATGTCCCCTACCCAGGCAAGACTCCTAGGTCTGTGGGTGAGATGAAAGCACATGCCATGAAAGACTGTGGGTCCAGGCAGGGTATTGGGGCCTGTGGAACAGGAAGATCCTGTGCCACCAGTGAACCATGACATATAGGATCTGGATTGGTTGTGTGCCATGAATGACTACGGGGCAGGTGCCTTGTGATTGACCAAATGAGGCTGAAAGGTCAGAAGCAAAGGAAAAAGATATTATATGATAATCAATACAGCCTCAGTTTCCTCATCTGCAAAATGACGGGGGTGGACAGGATGGTCTACCTTTAAGGTCTGTTCTAGCTCTAAATCTATGGTTAAATAATCTCCTGGTCAAGCCCCCTTCTGCTTCCCCCATCTAGCCAATGAATAATTCAATCAGCATGATGATAGTGAGAAAGAAATATATGCCTCATTTAACCTTCTCTACATGGCACTTATGCAAATCTGTTGACTACAGAATACAAGGAAAGATCAAAGAATAGAATTAATTTAAACCTTTCACTAAGTTAAAAAGCTAGGTTTTAGGCTGACTTCAGAAAAACCTGGACTCATATGGTCTGATGCTGAGTGAAGTGAGCAGAACCAAGAGAACGTTGTACACAATAACAGCCACGTTGCATGATGACTAATATTGATAAACTTAACCCTTCCTGGCAATACAAGGATCTAAGACATCTCCAGAGGCCTTGTGATGGAAAATGCTATCCCGCACCCAAAGAAAGAACTATGGAACCCGAATTGCTAATTTTTTTCTCTTCTGTTTAATTTTGTTTCCTCTTTCTGATGGTTCCTCCCATTGGTTTTAATTTCTACTTTACAACATCACTAATGTGAAAATATGTTTAACATGAATGTAAATGTATAGCCTATATCAGATTATGCGCCGTGTTGGGGAGGGTGGTGGGGAGGAAGGGGGAGAAAAATTTTAAACTCAAAAGCATATGGAAGTGATTACTGATAAATCAAAATAAATTAATTTTTAAAAAAAGCTAGGTTTAAAAAAAGTTTTATCAATTTAACCAGAAAAAGCCTTTATTAATTTGGGTAAAGTGTTTTAAAAGGAATGTTTAGATACCTAAATATTGGACTAAGGCAATCAATCAGTCAACATTTATTAAGTGCCTACTATGTGCCAGGCACTGTGCTAAGAGTTGGGGACACAAAATGAGGCAAAAGCCAGTCCCTGCCCCAGAGGAGCTCACAACCAGTGGGGGAGACAACATACATACAAAGCAAGCAATATACAGGATAAATAGGAAATAATAAACAGGGGGAAGGCCTTAGAATTAAGAGGAGTTAGGGAAGGCTTCCAGTAAAGGATGGGATTTTAGTTGGGACTTAGAGGAAGCCAGGGAGATCAATAGTCAAAGGGCAGAAGGGAGGTCTTTCAAGGCATGAGGGACAACCAGAGAAAATGCCCAGAGCCCAGATATGGAGTGTCTTGTTCCAGGAATAGCAAGGAAGCCAGTGTCACTGGATCAAAGAGGTACTTGGCAGGGGAGTAAGGGGTAAAAAGACTGGAAAGGGTGGGGGGGGCGCTCGGTCATGAAGGGCTTTGAATATCAAACAGAGCACTTTGTATTTGGGCCAGGTCCTCTTAAATCAAGAATTTCACTGGGTTGTTTCCAAAGCTGGAGACCTTCCACTAGGAGCAGGTGGTGGGAAACTAGGGCAGTTCTCAACTCCCACAGACCACTTAGTGTTCTCTTCCCTTTTCTCAGAGCCACCAGAACCTGTAACTCTTGAGTCCCTGCCTCAATGGATTCCTGTGGGCCAGAATTTCAGCCTTCGATGCCAAGTCTGGAGTGGGAAACCCAGGAAAAACCTGACAATGGCACTGCTTCGGGGACCTCAGGAGCTGAGCAGGCAGGCAGTCTCTGAACAAGACCCAGGAAAGGCAGCTGAGGTCACATTCACAGTCACAGCCAGTCGAGAGGACCACGGGGTCAATTTCTCCTGTAGAGCAGGCCTGGACCTCCGAGCACAAGGGCTAGGACTCTATCAGAAGAGCTCAGCCCCCATGGAGCTCCACACCTTTGGTGAGGAACAAAAAGAGCTGCTGGGTCATGCCAAAGCTGATGATACTCTCTAGTCTATTCCTACCTGTCTCAACTGTCTCTCTCTTCTCCTTTTAGCACTGGGTGCCCCTCGACTCTTAGCCCCCAAGCTTCTGGAGGTCGGGAAGAAGGAGACTTTGAGATGTGACATTGACAAGCTCTTCCCTGTGGAGAATGCCCAAATCCATCTGTCCCTGGGAGGTAGAAACTTGAATACTACAGTTATCCGGGACCAGGACATGCTCAGGGCCACGGCCATAGTAGTCATTGCAGAGGGAGAGAAAGAGGGCCAGTGGGAGCTGACTTGCAATGTGACCCTGGCGGATCAGAACCGGCAAGTCCAGGAAAATCTGACTGTCTACAGTAAGGAGAGCCACATATGGGGCTGAGAAGTAGGGAGGGGGTGGGGCAAAGGCAATGTGTGACCGTGACCGTGGAGGGTGAGTGACCCCATCGGACGGGAGCGAGGCTGACTGGAACTCTGACCCTTCCTCTTTCTCCCCCACCCCACAGAATCCCCCCGGGACCCTGTGCCCATCGTCATGGGGGTGCTGCTGGCCCTGGGCCTCGCGGCCATGGCGGGGGCGATCGCAACCCTGTGCCTCTGGCAGAATCTGCGGAAAAGCAGTTACCAACCCCAGACGCTGCCTCTGCAGGATCGGACGCCAATGGAGGGACCGGAGATGGGCCCTTAAAGGCCCGAGCCCGGAAGCCTCGGCCTAGGTCAATAAAAGCTACTACTGAGACAACCTCCGGCCTCTTGCATAGCTCTCCGTTAGTCCGCCCATCCACGTGGGGCGGGGCCACGGGAAGGCGTGCTCACCATTTCCGGCGGCCACTTCAATCACGCCTCCCCACCTATAATAGGCTGCCAAAGTCCAATTAGGGAACAGAACTCACCCACGAGCGGGCGGGGTGCTAGAGGGAGGAGTCTAGCAGCCAATGGGCTGCAAAAGGAGAGGAGGGAGGTGGGACTTGCCCTAGCCAATGGACGGGCGCGGCGCCGTTGCCGCTCTAGGCCGCTCCGCCCCGGCTCGCTGGTCCCAGAAGGCGCCGGGTTTCCCAAGATGGCGGCAGACGTGTCCGTTACTCACCGGTCCCCGCTGAGCCCAGAGCCCGAGGCTGAGGCCGAAGCGGGCGGCGTCGGGGAGCGTAGGACGCTGGACGAGAAGCTGCCGCCACTAGACCCCGAAGAGGTGCGGAGCCGCCTGGAGTGGACTGAGCGCCAGTTCCGTAACCGCCGAAAGATCCTCATCCGGGGCCTCCCCGGGGACGTGACCAACCAGGTGCGACGCGGGGGGGGAGGGAGGGAGAGAGGCAGGAAAGATCAACATGCCTGATGTGTGTAAGTGGGGGGGCGGGGACGAGGTCGGGGACCGACGAGACACACCAGCGCGGGAGGCTGGTTGGCCTGCAGGCAAGAGCGCTGAGGGCGGGAGAGACTTAGGGGCATCCTCCGTCTGTGGGTTGTGGGGGAGTGGGAGAGACCAACGTGGGAGCTCGGGGCGGGGTACGCCGAGGGAACGTGCTGCGCTAGGGGGGAGGGGAGAGAAGGAAAAGATCAAGGGGGCGTGGCAGCCCTGGAGCAACCAACCAGTTTGGGCGAGACCGAATGATTGACGTTGAGGGGAGGGACCGTGGACGCACTTCGGAGACGCGGTGGTGGTGCGTCTGGCAGGGTGCTGGGACTGTGGGCGCTTGGGGGGGGGGGGGTCTGTACTCGGTGAGCCTGCTGCACCAAACGGGAGCCCAAGTCTCGTGGCCAGCCTGGCCTGGCCCAAGGACACCAGGCTCCTGGGCTACGTGCGGGCTCCAGGCCCTTTCCTATGCCTTCTGGGTGGAGAGGAAGGAAGGGAGAAAAGCAGCGAGCCTTGACTCCCAGGTCTGGGCCGGGGGGGGGGGGGGGGGGGGCAGTTTGTGCGATGAAAAGAAGGAGGCAAACTAAGAGGGATGGCTGGATTTCTCTTGGTTAATCCTACAGCCTTAGCAAAACAGAAGTCTTAGTGGATGCTTGTGTGCACCTTCCTGTCATGACCCTGGGCCATCCTCAGATGGAATTCCCCCATGTCAGTGCTTTTATCTTTCCTCCATGCATACTAGAAAAGTGGAACACAAATTTGTTTTGAACTTCTAGTATCCTTTGAACCCAGTGGAGATGAAGTATGAAAGGCAGTTATTCCTTCGGAAGGAAGCAAGCGCCCCTTTGTAAAGAAATGTCCAAGCTGGGGCTGGCAGTTGGGAATCTATTAGACGTGACATTTGATTCGATGGCCTCACCAGTGCCTTCTTTTTGCCTGTTACTGTATTTTAGATCTCCAGTCTTAGGTCTGGGATGTGGTGGAAGGTTTCGAACTATTGAGAAAAAGCTCAATAGGAAGGGAACAGATCTGGAAGCTGATTGCTTGCTTCTGGCCTGGTGTTAGCATTTATGGAGTGGGAAGTGCCATTCCTAGTTGCAGCCCACCACTCTAGCTCTGTGGGGAACATTATGTCTCCCCTGAGGAGCACTGTGTCTGTTACAGATAGCCCAATCGTTTTCACTGCCATAGCTTTCCTGTGAAGAACCTTGTTGCTTTTAACATCGAGGGGCTGCCCTGAATCCTGGAGTTTTTCTTCTCTTCATACAACGTCCCCACCCAACATCCCTACTTTTAGTCTCTAGGTGACTTTTCTCTGTTTATTTCTATAGGAAGTTCATGACCTGCTCAGTGACTATGAACTCAAGTACTGTTTTGTGGACAAGTACAAGGGGACTGGTGAGTTTTGCTCCGGCTGGGGAGTAAATGGAGTAGGGGAAATGACCCCAGGGCAAGAGGCTGAGGTTCTGGGGGCAGTTGTGCCAGTTTTGGTGATTTTTTTTTTCCCTCTTCAATCCCTTCACCTTAGCTTTTGTGACTCTGCTGAATGGGGAACAAGCAGAGTCAGCGATCCGAACGTTTCACCAGAGCCACCTGAGGGACAAGGAGCTGTCAGTGCAGTTGCAGCCCACAGATGCCCTGCTCTGTATCGCCAACTTGCCCCCGAGCTACACACAGCAGCAGTTTGAGGAGCTGGTGAGGCCCTTTGGCAACCTGGAGCGCTGCTTTCTGGTGTACAGTGAGCGCAGTGGTCACTCCAAGGGCTATGGCTTCGTGGAGTATATGAAGAAGGATTCAGCAGCTCGAGCCAAGTCAGACCTGCTGGGCAAGCCGCTAGGCCCCCGGACACTGTATGTTCATTGGACAGATGCCAGCCAGCTGACTCCAGCACTATTGCATTCACGATGCCTCTGTGTTGACCACTTGCCCCAAGGCTACAGTGATGTGGATGAACTGCGACAGGCCCTCTCCTCTGTGCACCCTCCCACCTTTTGCCAGGTGAGCAGCTCTAGCTCTGACTCCTTGTCAGGGCATTACACCTTTATTAATAGGGTCATGGGAGGAACCTTAAGAGTCCACTTCATTTCCTAGAGAAGAAGACTGGCCCCAAAACAGGAAATGACTTGCCTGAGGTTCCACATGTAGTGCCACAGCCGTAATGTGAATTTGAGTTCCCTGGCTCCACATTCGTTGGTTTTTCTATTGGGTCATGGTGACCTGACCTTAGATTTCCTGACTTGACTATTCTCCAGCCTAGGGGGTGGGTAGTGATGGGTCTTCCCATTTATTTCCTCTGTCTTTTGCCCCACAGCTTGCATATGGGCAGGATGGACAACTGAAGGGATTCGCAGTATTGGAGTATGAGACATCACAGGTGGCTGAAGAAGCCCAGCAGCAGGCAGATGGGATGGCCCTGGCTGGAAGCCCTATCCGAGTGTCTTTCTGTGCCCCAGGCCCTCCTGGCCGTAGCATGCTAGCTGCTCTCATTGCTGCTCAGGCCACGGTGAGTAGGACCTCCCTGGACAGAGGGCACCAAGCTCACTAAGAAACCCATGTTCCCTGGGCTTAGGATCTCTTGCTTCCTGTCAGGGCCTGGGTCATCCTCCTTGTGGGAGTGCTGGACTATGAATGGGTTCTTTGGTTTATCTCTTAAGGCTCTGAACAGGGGGAAGGGGCTGCTGCCTGAGCCAAACATTCTTCAGATCCTCAGTAGCTTAGGACCCCCTGCATCTCTCCAACTTCTCCTGAATCCCCTGCTGCATGGCCCTGGAAGTGGAAACAAGCAGGGTGAGTGTTCCCCTGAGTCCCCTGGGATGTGGGGTTAGAACCTGGGGGGTGTTCCTGTGTGGTAAGGGAAGTAGTGAATGGAAATGATTTTTCTGGCCTTACAGGCCTCCTGGGTGCACCTCCAGCCATGCCCCTGTTGAACAGCCCAGCCTTGTCCACGGCATTGCTCCAGCTTGCCCTGCAGACTCAGAGCCAAGTCCAGCAGGTACTGCCGCCCCTCCCTACTTGGGCTACAATTCCATACTCTGAACCAGCTCACCACCAGGGTCAGGATTTGGGAGATAAAGGCCAGGAACGATTGCCAGGCAACTCCATACGTCCCTTTACCTACTTACTTGTCTGTATTTGCCTGCCCGACTGACTAGAGGAGTCCTGGCATGACCCTGGGGGGTCTTGTGTGTGGATCATTGTGATCATCTGAAAGTTCAGTTTCCTTCCCCAACGTTCAGGAGCTTTTCTTGTCCAAAGACTGCCCTGGACCAGCTCTTCCTGAGGACTTTGACCTTTCCATTGGCCCCTCCTTTTCTTTATAAGCCTCATCTTCCTGACTCTCTGGAATGGACTTTGATTTTCTGTTTTGCCTGTCTTCCATGGAACAGCAGTCGTCCTTTTTGTTTGCTGATGAATACTGTACCTTTCTGCCTCCCGCTACTGGGGCTACTGATGATTCCCCTTGCCTTGCCTTGCTTAGAGTGGCCACCCTCTGCTCTCCAATAGTGTGGGCTCTTGGGTGCATAAAGCCATCTGATCTCTGACATTGTGACCAAACTGTTTCTAGAAACCAGGAATCCTTGGAGACTCTCCCTTGGGTTCATTCCAGTCTGGAGCCCAGCCTGGCAACACTCTTCTCGGAGAGTTACCTGCAGGTAAATTGGGCTTCTGCTGCCTACTCTGCTTATTCCACAAAGTCATTCATTCAGGAAGCATATAGTAAGTACTTACTGAATGCCAAACACTGTGCACCTCTGCCTTTACATTCTGTTAGAGGGAATGCATAATGGATGCATAATGAGAAAATACAAAATCCACACTGAGTAATGATGAGGCAACACAAACAACTTGGGACGATCTGAAAAGGCCAGAACTGGGGCTTCACCAGAGATTAGGTCCAGGGCGATTTATATGATGGGGATGTTTTACAGTGGGAGGCGGGTGGAGAGTTAGGGCATCTGTGCTCGTGACAGATTCTCTCTTCAAAGGAGGAGTCCTGCCCTCAGACATGCCCCCAGTTCGAGGGAAGCCACCATCTCTTTTGCCACCACTGCTAGGCACAGGGGGAGACCGTGAAGCTCTGGCTCTGGGGGCTTCAGCTACTCAGCTCACTCCACCTCCTGCCTCCCTTCGGGGCTCTGTCCTCAGCGGATTACAGAAACTGAGTGACAATGGGCCACCACCAGCCTCTGGGGTAAGACTCAAACCCTTTCTCTGGATGAGGAGCAGTTATCCGAAGTTATGCCTGTGCCAAAGGTGACTGTGTCTTCCTGCCCAGGTCTCACTGTTGGGAGAGCCACCCAAGGACTTCAGGATCCCCCTGAACCCTTACCTAAACCTGCACAGTCTCTTGCCAACAGGTAGCCTGTCCAGTAAGGTATCCAGGCTGGGAGTTGGGTTGGAGTAGCCTCAGGTTGGGAGGTGGCAGGGTAGAGTAGCCTCTAAGGAGACCAAATCTGATATTCTTCCTTTTGGCCCCAGGGGGTGGCAGCAAAGCCTTTAACCTGAAATCCAGTATGCTGGGCAGTGCTTCTAGCACCCGTCTGTCCACTGATTCAGGCCTGTCTTCAGATGGCTATGGCTTTGACTACCCACCGGTAAGTCTCAGGGGCTGAGGCCTTGCTCCCCTTTTTTTTGTCTTTCTGTTTTTTTCTCTAGTTTCTGTCTGACCACACATATGAAGCTCACACATTTTCTCTCTTCATGCTAATCAAACAGGACAGGTTGCTTACTGACCTAGGAATAAGCTCCAAGTTCTATCATAGTGAGGCTGGGCTTTAAGCCTATTATAGCTTAGGAGTGAGCGAAAGGGAGGTGCCCAGTCAGAGACCACATGGGCTGTAATTATTGAAGTGGTTGTTATGAAGCTGTTTAGTCCTCCTCTCTGAACCTTTCCTTCCAACTGAATATGATCTTTTCCCCAGGACTTAGGACCAAGGCGTATGTTTTCCCATCCCCGAGAATCTGTGGGACCCATGCTGGGACCACTTGGGCATAGCAGACATAAGGTAACAGCTCCCCCCTTTTGTCCACCCCTGTCCCATTCCAGTTCTCTTTCCCAATCTCACTCTGGCCTCTGTTTTCTTGGCTCCCTGCAGATGTCTCCCCCACCCAGTGGGTTTGGAGAGCGGGGGACTGGAAGTGGCGGGCTCTCCCACTTTTACTCGGGCTCCCCTACCTCCTTCTTCACCAGTGGTCTGCAGGCTGGCCTCAAGCAGAGTCACCTCAACAAGGTGAGATCCTCTAGTAGGCTGTGCAGAAGGTGGGAAGGAGAATGCTAAGGACCCTTTGCCTGGGCCTGACATGGGAAAGCCTAAGTCTTAGAGGGAGGGGAAGCCTGAGGATGGCAGTTATCTTTTAATTGTGGGGGAGCCAAGGTCTTAGCTTCATGTCAGAATCTAGGTCCCCTTGGGGAAGAGCAGCTTCATCTAGTGAAAGGGCTCTGTGGGGCAGAGGGGAGATTAGCAAGCCTGGGACATGGGAATTGAGACTTATGGCTCCCTCACCTCTCAGGTTATTGGCACGTCCCCCATGGGTTCTGGAGAGGGTCTCTTGGGTCTGGGTCCTGGCCCTGACAGCCATGGCAGCCTGATGAAGGTAAATGGCTTGGGGCAGGTGGTGAGTGGGGCAGGCTGGGGGAGGGGGACCACCTTTCACCTGCTGTTTTGTGCTTTGCATTCACAGACTCCCATCGGTGGCCAGAAAAGAGGCTTCTCCCACCTGCTTCCCTCCCCAGAGCCTAGCCCTGAAGGAGGCTATGTGGGCCAGCATTCCCAGGGCCTGGGGGGCCATTATGCAGATTCCTACCTGAAACGCAAGAGGATATTCTAATGAAACCCCTGACAGGAATGTCGACCCTACCCTAGGCTGGCTGACTGCTTTTAAAGCCCACTCTTGGATTTCCAATTTAAAAAAACAAACAAACAAACAACAAAGTGTATGTAAAGAACTTGCCTTCTGAACAGGGCCAGCCCCCTTAGACCCAGCCCCTTTCTCCTCAGTAGAAATGGCTGTGCCAGGGGATGGGGGTTGTTCCCTCCAATACCAGCACCTTTTGACATCCTCCCTGGGGCCCTGCAGCTCTTAAGGCTCAGTGTTTCAGTTGTAGTGGTGGAGGAGAAGGAAAAAAAAAAAGAGGGTATCCTCCAAGTAAAAAGTAGGGACCAGATTGGGCAGGGGTCAGGATATCTTTTCCCCATAGCCTGAACCTATGTCACTCTTCTAGGGCAGTGTCCTTGCCCTGTCCCACTTTGGACTTCTGGGGGGCCACCAGAGATCCTGTCCCAAAAACATTGTAGCCTTAAGAGGCCCCCAGGGTTTGTGACCTCATTCTTGCTTTCTCCTCAATACCCTTTTCTCTGTGACCCCTTTCTTCATTGTCTTCTTTTTTCTCTGTCCATTCTCTGTCATCTCTTTGTATGTCTTGTCTTGCTCCTTTCTTTCTCCTTGGTGTCTCTTGAGAGGCGTCTTGGGCTCCCTGGGTGGCTCCATCAGGCTGGGCCTATGCTGGATCCTGGGGTTTGAGTGCCTTGGACATCGTGCGGCTTCCTCTTTAGGAAAATGCTGCATCTGTAGGTTGCCTTTAAATTTTTTTTTAACAATTGTTTTTATTTTCTTGTGTGTGGTGTTGTTTTTTAATAAGCCAGGAAGAACCCAGCTCCCTGATTCTTGTGCATTCCAGGGAGCCTGGGAAGCTCAACTTACATATTTTCTTTATGGCTTTAAATTTCTTAGCCATATGTTAGAGGTGATTTTTGGCGCCGCCCCCCCCCTTTTTTTATGCTGCAGGTGTGGCTGCCTCCCACCCCCTGCTGCTGCTTCTAGTCTTCATATAGAAATGGCCCTTCTGTGTCCCCAGATGCCTTAAGGCCCCGAGCCTCAGTCCCTGCCCAGTCCAGAGAACTCAGCATCTGTGGTTCCTTCTGATGCTGCTGGGGCTACACTTCTCTCCTTAAAACTCAGGACCAAACAAGCTGAGAGAGGAAGGGACAGATTGGGAAGTGAGCCTTTAAGTCAGCCCCTCCTCTCGATTAGCTCAGCTGGAGAGTGACTTTCTGCAGGATTGCAAATCCAGCAGTTGTAGAGGTCTCCTTTGAAGTAAAGCTTTATCTTTCATTTCACCCATACTTCGCCCCCTGTTGGTTTTTATGGTGAAATTCTTTCTGCCCAACTATGTCAGCTGGAAACCTCCAGCTGCCCCTAGCCCTAAGGCCAAAGTCTCCATGCAGAATGATACTTTCTTCCTTGCCCCCAGGGAGAGGAAAGGGCCATTCCAGGCCTCTTCTTTTAGGGTAGGCTGTCCCTTCTCCCAATTCAAGTGAGCCAACCCCCTCTAGTGCCTCCATGTGCCCTGAGCACAACACCTCATATGCCTAACCCTTCTCTTCCCCCATTCCCCTGAGACCTCCTGCCATGCTTTTCCTCATTGCACTCCCATGTTCCCAATATGCCCTTTCAATCTGTACTTTTGTCTTTGTCGTCTGAGCTAGACCTGGTTGGACTACCTGTTCCAGGGTTCTGGGCTCAGGCCTGCTGTCTTTGGACCAGCCCTAGCTTCCAGGGGCAAGGTTTTCAGTGCCTCCACTGTCTGTCCTACAGGAACTCTGGGTGGGGGGTAGTAGCTCTGTCCTCGTAAATATAACTGTCCCTTGAAATCCACATTTGCTGAATTAAAGTTTTTAAGTAAAATGATTTTAATGAAACTGGTACTTGACTGATTATTTCACCAACTAGCAGCATTTTACTCAGACATTGCCCATTCTTAGAAATCTAATCATGGAGTCTTAACTCTTGGAATCCCCACCTTACATAACTGCGGGTCTTCTCAGGCCCATCGAAGGGGCCCAGGGAATCTCCATTCTCACATCACTTTGTTGAATTAAATGGAGTTGTACATGGTAAACGCTTTCAGAAATATTCATTGAATGGAAGTGGCGGTCAAAGGCTGAGTCAGATGTCAGCATGACCTCTGTCTTAGGGCAAGAGGGCAGGAAAAGAGAAATCCCATTTTCGACGTGTGGGAGCCACCTGGGTCCTCCGACCTGCGCCACTATTTCGAGAATTACAGCTCCCTCAAGAGGCTCCGTAGTTAATTGCGCAGGCGCCTGGGGCCTTGCTGGGTCATGTGGCGAATATCATGGCCACCTCCATGGCGGGGAGGAGCGTGAGAGCCGGGGCGTTGATACGGGCGGCCGGAGGCAGTCTGTGGCGAGGTCTGAGGTCCTGCAGACCGTATCCGAGGAGAGCTGTCGCCTCGTCGCCGGTCAGGCCCAGGGGCTTCCGGAGCACAGGTGCTTGGGGAAGGGGGTGGGGCTCCTCCCCTCGCGGTAACGTGCCGGCCGCCGAGGGGTGGGGGGGAGGATGCTGAGCGGGCTTAACCCCTTCGCCCCCGGGTTCCCCTCCCCCTTGGGTTGGGCCCTTCTGTCGAGGCGCTCGTTGTTTTCCAGGCCCTTGTCCGACAGAGGAGGAAAAGCAGCAGTCGGACACGAATCCTCTCTCCGGGGACTTGTGAGTAAGACCTGCACCGGGGGAGGAAGGGGAGAGGCGGGAGCCGTGACCCGTCCCTTCCGTGACCACCCCTACCCCTCCCCTAGAGTGAACGTGGTGTTCGTGGACCGCTCGGGGAAGCGGATCGCCGCGCGTGGGCGAGTGGGCGAGGACGTGCTGCGCTTGGCCCAGCGGCACGGCGTCGACTTGGAGGGTAAGCGGGCTCCCCAGGACCGTCCGGAGCCGGGGGGAAACTGAGGTCCGCGGACTAGGAATCACCGAATGTCAGAGCTGGAGGGAACCATAACGGTCTGTCAGTCCGACACTCCCACTTTATTGCATTTTGTGTGGGTGGGTGTGCTTTTAGTTTGGATTTTATTTTATTACTTTAAAAAAAAGTTCCATTGTTAGCTTGTTTTTACATCACAGTCATTTAGGGAAACACTCCTCTTCACCTCCCATTTGAGTCCTTTCTTGGAACAGTTAAAACAAAAATATCTGATAGTGACATTCCCTGGCAGTGTATACAGCATTTCGCCCCACTGGCTATCCATCTCTGCTAGGAGCAGGAAAGCCATTGCAGAGAGGAAAGCACTTGTTAGAAGTTACCCAAGGGTGCCACTTACAGTCATAGAATAGCGCCTGAAATCCCTTTTGCCAATCAGTCCAGGGACTTTCTACTTATTATACTAGAATTAGGAAAGGAGCTGGAGACTGTCTATTCCAGGCTTTTCTTGTTTTTGGTTGGGGGCACTTTCCCCTACTCCTCAGGATATAACCTAGAGAGATTAGCCTTCCTTCTTCTACCCTCCCTATATCTATGCCTTTGAGCTTTTATTTTTGTTTTTTTTTCTGTTGTACTTTTACTAAGCCACCTAACCCACTGCCTACCTAGCTCCTCCTGGCTTGTTTTTACCCAACCTGTTCTGAGGAAGGGGAGGAGGAGGAAGAGGAGTTTAGACCCTCCACATATGCCCTTTCCTTCCACAGGAGCCTGTGAGGCCTCCCTGGCCTGTTCTACCTGCCATGTCTATGTGAGTGAAGAGCATTTGGCTGTTTTGCCACCACCTGAAGAAAGGTAAGGATTGGGGAGCCGAGAGTGGCAGAGGCTGCCTTGGGACTGAGGCTTTCTGGGATCCCTGGTTCAAGAAGCTTGAGCCAGAATCGGATGATGCAGCACAGTAACCAGTGGCCACAGGTGTCATCCAGGCAGCAAGGGGAAGAAAGAGGCAGGTGGGTGGCTCAGGTCTTGTCCAGGGCCCTGGCCTGCCTGACATGGGGGTTAGGGGTAGAATCTAATCTGCTTCCCAAACCTGCTGGCTCCTTTATTGACCACCACATCTTTGGGCAGGGAGGACGACATGCTGGACATGGCCCCACAGCTGCAAGAGAACTCAAGGCTGGGCTGCCAGATCATCTTGACAAAGGAGCTTGAGGGTGCCCAGTTCACTTTGCCGAAAATTACTCGAAACTTCTATGTGGATGGCCACGTCCCCAAGCCCCATTGACAGGGAGGACGAGCCAAGAGGTCTGGAGGCACCTGCAGCTGCTGGACACATGGGTCTTTTCCTCGGGGCTTGGCAGCTGACTGACTTGAGCATGGGACTCTCTTAACGCACATATAGCCCATCTCTTGCCCTACTCTTCTCAGGGCCTAGCCCTGTTGACCAAAGCTGGCCAGATTGTGGACACCTTATTCCGGACCAGAGGGGGCTCAGAAGAGAGGCCATGGAGAAGTCTCCCTTTTTTTGGGAGGAATCTACACTTGTGCTTTAGAGGAAAAGGTCCCTCTCTTGCTTTAGCCTTGGCAGGGGAGGGGGTGGGGCTCCTGGGCCCCCAAACTGGGGGTGTCTGTTAGAGCCATAATAAAACACTTTGTTCACCAGAGTCTGTGGAACCTCTTTGGAACAAGGAGGGGCCTTAGGAAGTTTCTGTCATAATTCTACCACCACCACCTTGACAAACAGGATAAATCTAAATTTATTAAGACAGGATTTTTAATTGGAAGAACCTTAGAGAAAATGGTCCAACAGGAAGAAGGAGAAAGGGAAAGAACTTAGCTAGTCAGATTCACATATGCAAGCAGAAGAGGCAAAATTGAAACCTAGGTCTTCTGGCTCAGGGTCAGCCCTGGGAAAATGGGACTCACAAGGCCAGGGTGCTCACCCTGTTTGACTTGGCTCCTCCAGTTGGGTGAATGTGGGGTTTTCTAGCAGATTAAGTGGGGATATAAATTAATCTTTAAAGCATTGAGATTAACAAACTGATTTACATATAATATGTTATTTAATCCCCACATCAAACTCTGTGAGTTCCATGATATTGTTATCCCCATTTTACAGATGGGAAAACAAGCTAATCCTAGACTCCAGTCCAGCACTCTATCTGATGAGCTGCCTCTGGGTGGCGGATAAATATATGGACCTGCCTGAGGAAAATGGAATCTAGATATGTAAACTGAGGCTCAGAGGAATGGAATTACTTGCCCCAAGTCAATCAGTTATTTAGGAGCAAAGCCAGGACTAAAGTCCTAGGCTCCCAGAGGTCAGTTCCGTGCCCTTCCAAATCTGGGAAGGTCGAATGAGATGAGTAAACTGCAACGTACCTCAGAAAACACCTGATCCAATCCCTTCTCCTCATTTTATAAGAAACTGCTTCGTAGAAGTCGGGACTTGCCCAATGGTCACACAAATAACAAGTGGGGGTGGGGTCAGAAAAAATAGAGTATATAAGAACTAGCTTAAGCCAGGAATATTGAGGCACCGATTCATATACAAGGGGAGAGCCAAGTATCTGCCCAGGGCTAGCCTAGACGGGCAGCACGGCCTCTAAGCCAAAGGTCTCAGACACTCAGGAAGGGGTGGGGCTTTCGCAGTGATCACGCCCTCCTCAGCTGCAGCTAGTTCTCCCCTGGAAGGGGGCGGGGGCGGGGGCTGGGGCCAGAATACCCAGAGGTCTGGGGTGGGGTCTCCAGCTCTCGCCATGGAGGGGGAGCCCACCCCGGATTTTTCTGTCCTTCGGGAGCTGCTGGCCCCGCCCTGCCTGGAGCCAGAGCCAGAGCTCGAGGGGATGCACCCTCTGCCTCACCCCTCTCCCTGCGCAGGCTCCTTAATCCTGCCCCAAGAAAACAAGGGCCCTGGAGACAGCAGGTGTATAAGGGCTCAGACCTTCCTCCCCCACCTCCCCACATACCCCTCAGGGACAGGGAGGACTGGGCCCAGCCCGCGTAGCCCTCTCATCAGGGATCCTTGGGGTCACCCCGGGGACATTCACTGGGTTCACACAGGGTCAGCCAGGGGCCACTCCCTGGGGGCCTCGGGTCAGTCTGTGGGCCTTGGGGGAGGGCAGCTAATCCCATTGCCTGCTCCCCTTAGGTCTCCTTGGCTGGCCCTCCCAGCTGCAGCGACCGGCCTGCGCTTCCTCCAGGAGACAGCCGAGCGGCTCCGGCAGGCTCCTGTCCCAGAAGCCTCCCGAGCTGAGCCCTGGCTGGAGCCACCACTGACCCCCAGGGCCTTAGCCCCCTTGACGGTCCCTGGGGGTCCTGGAGCTTGGGATGCTGTGGACTCACTGGCCCTCATCAGCCTTCAGTGTCACAGACTGAGCCCCCCGAGGGCCAGGGAGCAGGTGGGGCTGGGAGTGGGACTGGGTAGGGGTCCTGGCCTCCAGGCCCTGGCAGGCAGGACCCTCCGCAAACAGCCCCACCCCCAACGGGGCGCCGAGGGACTGGAGCCAGGATTCCAGGGTGTTGTGCTGAGGATGCACCTGAAGCCTGATCAGGAAGGGCACCAGCTGCTAATCACTGCCCAGTTCAGGTATTGAGCTGGGACATCCAGGACCCTCTTCCTCATATATCTTGGCCCAGAGGCTGAGTGTTCCCCTGCCTGAGAGACTTGGGAACAGCAGAGTGGGGATAGGCTGACTTGGGGCAAAAGGTAGGAAGGTGGTAACCTGAGGGAAGGAGTAATTCAGGGATCTCTCCTTATGCATAAGCCTGGGAACTTTTGGGAACACAGACATGATGGTCAAGGCCTAACCCTCTTCCGATTCCCTTTACAGTTCAGCCTGTGGTTCCCGGAGCTGGGAGGCCTCACCTAGTCCCATGGGGGCCTTGCCCAGTCCCATGGGGGCAGCCACATCAAACCATCAGGGTTCCCCAGGTGTGTGGGGGAACCAGTCCATTTTTTGCCCACCCCTGGGGTGGGAGGCTTCTCGGTAGCTGGAAGCTAACATCTTCCTGTGCCATTTGGTTCCTGACTGCCTGCCATCCCTCTCTCTCTCTCCCTCCCTCCCTACCAAGTCTTTCTCTTCCCCATCACCAAGGCTGCCTCTTCTTCTCTCTCAGTGTTGACCACTTGGGTTAAGACTTCTGGACCTTGTGGGGAGGGCTAGACCATGAGTCCTAGATGCCCATTTCTGCCCAGGGAATACTAACCAGGCCCAAGGCACCATTGAGCCTAGAGAGGGTCTGACCAGGTGGCTCTTTCCTCTCCCACCCCTGCCACACTTCTGCCCTTCCAGGGAGTCGATGCTGTGCCTCCTGCCGAACCCAGAGGACCCCACTGTGGCGGGATGCAGAGGATGGGACCCCACTGTGTAATGCATGTGGTATCAGGTACATGCTGGGCAAGAGCAGAGGATGTGAGGTGACCCTGGGCCAGGCTTTGGAGCTCTGAGTTGGCCCAGGGATCAGGAAGGAAGCTTTATCCCACTTGGGGTAGGAATGCAGCTATCCAAGCATCCTTCCTTTCTTTCAAGGTCCTTGGAGAGTCCGAAGGGAACTCGGTGACAGCTTCTTAGCTTCTGACATCAGGGTGAGGTGGCATAGTGGATAGAGTGCTGGGCCAGGAGTTAGGATGACTTAAGTTCAAATCCAGCCTCGGACACTTACTAGCTGTGTGACCCTGGGCAAATCACCATCTGCTTTAATTTCCTCATCTGTAAGATGGGGCTAATAATAGCACCTGCTTCCCAAGGCTGTTGTGGGTATGAGATACTTGCTTTGAAAACCTTAAAAGAGCTACGTAAATGCTTCTTACTACTACTACCTACTGCCCTCACACAGGTACAAAAAGTATGGAATTCGCTGCCCTACCTGTTGGACTGTACCTAGGAAGAGTATCTGCCCACTTGGGCATTGTACCCGTTGTGGGGCTTGGCTCTGTACCCCACAAGGCCCTGGCAAGAAAGGTGAGGAACTTCCCCTTCCCCAGGCCCTGGCATTGGTCTGGGCCCACCTGAGTTTACTAATCCTGTCCCTCTCCCTACATACCTATCCTTAGCCCCATGGACCCCCACCCACACTCTGAGGAGCTTTTGCTGGAGAGGAATGAGGGAGGGTTCATGGGGCTGGAAGGCAGGGGGAGGACACCATATCGGTCATATTTATGACTCTTCTTTCCCTCCAAGGGACTGACAGCCATGACTCCAGCGTCCGGCCCCGGGTGCCCCGGCTTCATGGGGAGAAGGAAAAGAGCTTCCCCAGAGAAGCTGCAATGAGATCAAGAGGGGCAGCAGGGATCCCCATGGGCCTGGGGCATAGCTCTGATGAAATGTGGATTCCTGTCCCAGTGGGAAGGCCAGAGCAGTGACCTCAGTCATGCCCCCCGCCACACACTCATCCAAAGAAAAAAATCAGAAATAAAATAGATCTGTTCATGCAGAGGAAGATAGCTGTGTCTGATTGAGTGGGAGGAGGCAAGACCCTACTAACCTTGGCCCTTACTGACTGTCTTCTGACCCGTCCTCTTAGATGCTCCCTGACAGGATGTGCTCCGTGCTTTCTTTGGGGAGGGGGAGGAAGGGAAGATGTCTCCTCTAGCCTGTTATACACATGGCTGTTTTCCATCTCTTCAGGGAAGTTCTTGCCAGAGATCAGAACTCATCAAGGAACTTCCTGGCCTTAACTCTGACAGCAGTCTTTTGTCTGAGAATTGGTTGGGGTGGGAGGGGCAGGGGAAGCTGGAGGGAGCAGTACAGAAAATGAGAAGAGGGAAAAAGCATCAGCTGGTGGCATGTACATGTGTGGCATTGCCTCCTCCGTGCGGACGCGCTGAGAGTCACCCCAGCTCTGAAACTGTCCTGCAGGGATCTCGTGCCCTGACCTGGGGGTGGGGGTGGGGGGGTGGACTAAAGCTCTAGCAGATGGGAATAACTGGTTCAGAGGCTGGGCTTTCCTCTGCCCCGGGTGCACACACTCCGAGCCCGTCATGTCCTGTTCATACTCTCCTTCCCCCACCACGAGTCAATCATGTCTAGAGACTGAGGGTCACAGAAATGAAAGTTATTGGACATAAACTTAAGTCCCTCAGGGCTGGGAAGGTCAGTGATGTTAAGGCAGAGATTAAGGCTGAGGTTCTTTGAGATTCCAGAGGCCCCTCTGTAGACACATGAGTGAGGAGATAACTTGGCTGCTGACCCCACTCTGCACCTCAGTTTGCCTATCTATGATATGGGGAAAGTGACCCCAAGGGATCTTTTATCAGAGTCCTAGAGGGGGAGGGAAAAGAAAGGGTAAGGAGAGAAAAGTTTCCCCATCTCCACACTTCAGGCATTGAGACTTCTCTCCATTTTGTTCTTTGTTCTCTCTACCCTAGTCTCAGAACTTTAGTGAGCTTCTCAGGCAGAGTAAACTGAGGCAAACCTTGGAATCCTGGTCACTTAGTCTAGCTTACCCATCTACTCTCTGTTATGATTTAACTTTGTCTTCCACTGTCCAAAGATGCTTCTCTAAACCTGGGTTGGGTTTCTAGGAGAGATTCCAACTTCCCTCTGTCCAGGTGGTAGTGGTGGTGGGAGGTCCCTCTGGAGATCTGAGGAGGCTCTTCTGACCTCCCTAGGACCTCCTCTTGGCCCTCCAAGCTGTCAGGGTTGGAGTTGGGGCAGAAGGCATCCTGCCTGGGGCAGAAGGCATCCTGCCTTGGCCAGAACTGCTTGCTAGGGTTACTCCCTCCCCTTCTCACTCACACCCAGTGCAGAGGAAACAGGGAGCAGCAACTTAGGTCTGGCCGGAAGAGATAGCATGAAGGAGACAGCCTGGCCCCACGAAGGATGGGGTTGGCGCTGGTGCTCGCAATCTGTGTACCCTCAGATCCTGAGGCCAGGACTGGGAAGGATTACCAGGCTGGGAGCAAACCACCGAGCAGATGTTTTTGCCACTGGCCAGGGTAGGGTAGGTTCCCTCCATTCTGGAGTAGAGGAGACTGGGAAGCTCTCCCAGTCTCAAGGATCTAGTGTCAGTGTTCCTTAAATAAAGACCCATAATGAGGAGGGAGTAGGGGGAAAGGCATGGTGAGAAAACACCAAGACATGAAGAGATTGGGAAACAGAAAGAGAAAGGGCAACTTCCAGAGATACAGAATCCTAGAACAGAATGCTGAAGCTAAAGAAATCCCACAGTTCAATCAGTTTAATCTCCTCATTTTAGGGATGGGGAGCCTGATGCCAGAGAGGTGGAATAATGGACTTGGCCCAGATCATATGGCAAATCAGTGGCAAAACTGGGCCTAACACTCCGGGTTCTTCCCCCAACCCCACTCCGAGCCATCCCCTGCCTGTGCTTCTTTCCACCCCACCTGGCTGCCTTGGAAACCCAGAGACAAATACAGAAATAGAAACAGACTCATATAAAGAGAGAGACATAGAAACAAACTTCCCTATAGAAAAAGATGGACAGAGAAGGAAGCAGAAAGAGAAGGGGGTGGGGAGAGGGAGGGCAAGAGACAGCTATCAGAGTCATTTATAAAAAGTTTATTAAGGGATAGAAAACTTGGACAATGGTTGAAGGGCTCCTGGGAATCCTGGATCACAGCTGCCTTGGCACTCGGGCTCCATAAATGAGTACCTCGATTAATAAATACGTGTCAGGGAGGGGCTGCCTACCCAGCTGGGCGTAAGGGTGTGGGAAGTCCTGCTCCCGGGGGAGGGGGCTCACGTGGCAGTCAGTTGGATGGAGTACACCTCTGCTCCTCCTGCCTCATTCTCAGCCCCTGTACCGCTTCCACCCCCAGCCCCAGTCCCAGCCCCACTCCCATTCAAGCACACAGCTTCCCCAGAGCTCTCAGCCTCCTGCACGTTGTACTCCCCTTTCTTACAGGCTGTGGACTGGAGGTAATAGGTGAGGCCACCCAGGCTGGCCAGCAGCAAGGCCCCTCCGGCCACCCCGCCCACGACAATCCACAGCCAGGGCCCTGTAGACAGCCAGGGATGAAGTCATATCACTGAGCCACACTCCTTCCTTCGGACTGTGGGCCAGCCCCCTGTGACCCTTCACACCCACAGGAGAGCTAGGCCATAGGCTGCTGAATAGTTAACCTAAAGCCTTCACCCTCATGGACCGCTACCCCCTCTCCCCAAGGCCGAGCCTTACCAGCCACGTGCACGGTGATGCGAAGGGCATGGCTTCCGTGGGTGTTGGTTGCAGCACACTCATACACACCTCCATGGCTGCCCAGGGCACCAGCCACACTGAGAGTGCTGTTGTTGCCTGAGAGACCAATGTTGGGGGCTCCTGGGGGTGTTCGCCAGCTGTATTGGGCTGGGGGGGATCCTTCAGCACGACAGGTCAGGGTAAAGTTCCCCCCAGGCTTCACACTGCCTGGGGGCATGGCCACCAGCTCTGCTACCAAGGGCCTGTCTGGGGGTGGAGAAGCCTGTTATCCCCAGAATCAGACAGAATCCTGTGCTTGGTTGTCTCCCCTCGAGAGCCCTGTCCTCTTCTCCCTGCCCTGAATCTTTTCCAGGACTGGCCACTTACACTCTACCCCAATGGTGACCATCCTGGTGTCTGATCCATGACTGTTGGTGGCTACACAGTGGAAGATCCCAGCATCTGCCCTGGAAACACTGGGCTTCTCCGGCCGCTCCGGCCCCTCCCGGGAGCATTGGACCCTTGGAGTGGGGTTACCCTGGGCTCTGCAGGTCAGTGCTGGTGCCTGTGTCCCCTCCAGCCATGTCTGGTGGCTTGGGCAGCTGGCCTCATCCATTTCTGGTGGGGCTGGAGGGCAGCAAGGTTAACTCATCCGTAACCGGCGGCCAGATGTACTGATAAGGGCCCCTACACCCTGAGCCCTGGGTTCCCAACTTACATTCGGCACTGATGGTGACTGTCTTGCTGGCTGACCCATGCATGTTGGTTGCATTGCAGTAGTAGAGCCCAGGAGCAGGGTCATGCCCCAAGTGAGAGCCCAGGTGAGGAAAAAGCAGCTCCTCATGGCTCCAGTTCCCTGCCCTTAGACACAGCACCACAGGCTCTGGGTTCCCATCAGCCTCACAGGAGAACTGGTGGTCAGAGCCCTTGACCCAGGTCCAAGCACCAGGGCAGTCAACCTCCCCAAAACTTGGTGCATCTGCCATAGGTACAAGACAACCATCAGGCACTGCAGTGCTCTAGGCTGCCCTCTGCCCCTGGCCCTTACCCATCCCCTTTCCCTCTCCACTCACACTCAACAGTGACGGACACATTTGTGGAGGCTGAGCCTCGAGGATTTGTAGCCACACAATGATAAGTGCCTGCATGTTCCCGAGTGACTTGAAGTTGCCCCACAGGAAGCCAGGCCCTGGACCCAGTGGGGATGCAGCTCACAGTGGGTGGTGGGACCCCAAGAGCCTGGCAGGTCAGCACCTCCTCTGTACCCTCAAGCCATGTACGTCTCTCTGGGCAACCTAACTGATCCAGCACTGGCCCATCTGGTAGCAGAGGTGGAAGGTATTGGTGGGGGTAAGGGGAGGAGAGGAAAGGCACCCCCCATACTTATTTGTTGTCAAGTGGGGGCTTCAATTGGTAGTATGTAGTCATTGGAAAGTGACAGCAGTGTTTAAAAACAAAGAAAAGAACCTCAACAAAACATTTTTCTAAAAATAGAAGGGACCCCGGTCCTGCTATTCTGCTAGACACTGCTCCATTCCAACTGGGCAATACCCTGGCACTGCAAAGTATTCCCCCTTGACCTTTTCCCCATAATCTCCACCACCCATTCTTGGATGGGAGGGCCCTCCCTCCAATGGGGCTGAGTCAGGGTGGGTGTGGTGGCCCCACTGTCACTCACACTCCACCATCACCATCACATCCTTTGTTGTTTGGCCCACTGTGTTGGAAGCTGTGCATTGGTAGGTGCCCGCATGATCCCGGCTGATGGGCAGCGGCAGGCCCAGCGGTATGGCTGGCCCCCCCTCTGGCCGGATACATTCCACAACTGGGGGTGGATTCCCTGGAGCCCAGCACTGCAGGGTGGATTCCATCCCCTCCAACCATGTCCAGTTCCCAGGACAGCCTGCCTCATCCAGTCTTGGCCCATCTGGAGTGAAAGAAGTGAGTTCCCTGTTGACTGTGCCCCCAAACCTCAGGGCTGAATCCCCAAGTGGGTCTGAGTTTTAGCTCTATCAAAAGGGCCTTGAAGCTAGGCAAATAAGGGCCAAAATCAGCACAAAGTGGTAGGTCAGGGATAAAGCAAAATTAGAAGATCACAGAATTTTAGTCTGAATTTCTTGTTTTACCCTCAATTTACAGATGCCCAGAGGGTGAAATTATTTGACCCAAGATCACATGAGTAAAACTTGGGCAGGGGTGGGGTGGGCAGGGGTGGGGTAGAGTCAGAGATCAGATATCAAAAGTGGGGCAGTT